ATTTGACCAATAGCGAAGTGGATGAAACGGATCAAGCGGATTAAGTATGGCGCCTGCCTAACATACGATATTGCTTGCTTTGATCAAGACTCAGATACGGGTCATAATATCACTTATAAAGAGAAAATGAGAAAAACTCACAATATCCACGCAAAGATAGCACAAAAGAGCTTGGAAGAAGTGATTTTTGGCCGCATATTTCAAGGTGGGATGGTCAGCCTCCCACATAGCAATTTCTTCGAATACTGATATCGCTTTTTGATACTGCTCCAGTTGTGCGGCATACTGAAAATTATCAAAAAGTCAAAATTAGATTCAAAATATATGCCACAAAAACTTTCTTCAAGGCATTAATCAAAAAACTGAAGATAGTATAGTCTACGGCGCAAATAAGTACCTGTGCCACTTTGATCAAACATTTTGTTGCACTACTTTTGGCTTCCTCGCCCTTATAATAATCGGCAGCTTTCTGATAATGTTGAATGCACTGCTCCAAGTCTGGACACTCATTCTCATACCTGTGAAAAAGGTAAAAATAAAAAGCAGGGGGAGAAAGGAGAGAAATAGTAAAATGAGTAAAAGAGTAAAGCGAGATGCTGTAAAGCTTGAAAAAAAGGAATTGCGATGACTCACAATTCAGCAATGGTCACATGATTCTTTGCAGCCATATTAAAACGGCCCATGTCGGTGTAAATTTCCGAAGTTTTCGTGAGACAGTCAACGGCAAGCTGAAAAATTGCATTCTCAAACACATCGCTATAAATTTTCCTTTTTACATACCTGAGGATTGATTTTTCTATAGCAATTTGCTGCCTCGGCATATTGGCTCGCACAGTCATGTTTTGAATCACCCTATAAGTTACATTTTCAATAAAATCGTGCACAACAGAGGCACAAAATGGCAGATAAAATCAAAACGGCACACCTTTGCTCCGTGAAGTTCAGCAGCTCTCACAAAAGCATCGCCAGCCTCCTTCCACATTTTGGCCATTTTGAAGAGATTTCCAGCCTAAGAGAAAGAGTAAGTAAACTTGGTAAGAAAACCATCACGATAGTATTACAAGTAAAGTGATCAGTGATTTATTAAGTAGATTCATTATCATGGGCATTCTTGGTCCTGACAGCGACTTTTGTACTTCGAACACCAGCAAACGTCTTCTCTTGTTCCCCGAATTTGACAGAACGAGGCACAGCTCTTTTCTTGGATACTTTCATCTTCCCAAGTGTGAGTTGCAGCTCGTCCATTCTTCTGGCCAACTTCCGCTTTTCGATCGTTACTTCAACGTCAGTGATATTATGAACTTTCTGGCAATGCTCATCTCTTTCGATGGCACTCTTGAAAGTGCTCCCACATTGTTCGTCATAGCACTTGAAATGATTTCCGCTCGGGTCCCTCTCAACGTTCAAGGAGTGGAAAGGACAATGAGTTTCGTCGCTATGAACTTCCAAAGCTCTCTCGCTAATGAACATTTTTGCACAAGCAGCGCATTGGTGCGTGTGAGCTTCTGCATAGTGAGATTCGAATTCGACAATATTCGGAAATTCTCGGAAGCAGAGGTCGCA